CAACCACTCTGTGTCCCGCTCTTCTCTCTCCTTGCTGCGTTTTTCAGTTCATTTCGCTAGTTGAGCTCGCGTTCTGTGTGTGTTTGTGTGTGTTGAGCTCCCACTCTCTTTGTGTGTGTGCGTGTGTGTTTTGTCTTTTTTTCGCCCTCCTATTTCGGGACAAACGGAACCGCCTGCTGTGAGCAGCTTTCGTTGAGCTTTCACCAATGCCACAACCAGGCGCGCTAGAGCGAGACAGCAGCCAAAAAGCGGGCGAGCGAGAGAGTGAGAGCGTGTGTGTTGCTCCCATTAGCCGAAAGGATTTATATTACAAGCGTACACATAAAAAGCACCGCAGGATATTTTGTTTTATGTGAATTTAATTGTTGTTTTAATCCAAAGGTAGTCCAACTTCTGTGCAGCGCACTCCGTCTCTCTCTCTCTCTCTCTCTTTCTGACTCTCGCTCTCCTCCTTTCTTTGTCTAGCTGTCCAATGCTGAGCTGAGCTGAGCTGAGCTGAGCTGAGCTGGTTCAGCGTGAGTTATTTTATATTAATAGCATTGCATTTTTAATAATAGCTGAGCACACATGTCGGCTACTTGATTTTTCACTTTGTGCTGCTCGTTTCGCTGTTTGCCTTTTGACCAGAAAGCCGTGCAATTGCCAAGTCGGTCAAGTACACGACTTTGTTTCGCAGCCAACGCGCATTGCCCTCTGCATTGTGGCATCAATCGAGTAACGGTATCATAGCATAGCTATTATATATTATTATATCATTATAATTATGTAAGCCAACTGACCGGCTGTTTGCTTAGCTCTCTTTGAATTGGCCAAAATAATCCTTTTTTTCATATTCGCTATATAAATATTCGATATGCTTAAATATTTATTTAAGTAAACTTTGTCTGCGATCAAATATTCACAAATAAAATAGACGATTACCTGTTGCTCTTCCGTCCTATTTGCTGTCCTATTTGCCGATCATAAAATTGTATTTAACTTTATTATAATTAACATTTAACAAGAAAGAAAATTTAAGTAAAATAATATTTAATTTATAAATGTTCATAGGATTTTTTAAATTTTAGTTTATTGATTGATTAATATATAATAGTTATTTTAGTTAATTGAAATTTGAGGTTAATAAAAACTGTATATATATTTTTTAAAATTTCTTATCAAATTGTATTCTTATTTTTTTTTCTAAATCTATTTGTATGTATTTATTTATTTTAATTAACAGATTTTTCAAACGATGTAATTATGAAATATTAAAATTATAAAATATATTATTCATGAATTATGTTTAATATAAATGACTTCATAATGTAAATTAAAAAAAAATAATGTATTAAGTAGAGGATTTTTAATAGATGTTTTTTTTTTGTTACTGAATTTGAAGTACCTGACAAAGTGAAGGTACCCTTTCTCAGGTGTAGAGCAGCAGGCAAGAGAGCTGAAAGCATAAACATCAACTGCTTAGGAGATTTTGTCGATTTTGGTCAGCAGGCAGGAAAAACTTAAAAATGCCTAAATAAAATAACAGAAAGGCAAAGAAAACTTGGCCAAGTTTTTTGAGTAGAAATATCAACGGAAATATGGCAAACACAATTCCGTACACACAGACACACCACGCATACACACACACACAGACACACACATACGTAGAGGGAGTAAAACCGACATGGGATCAAAGTGTGCATATCCTGCTTAGCCGGGTTTTTGTAATGTGCTTTTCTAGTTGTGCTGCTTATGTTGTTGTTGCTGTTGTTCTTGTTGTTGTCAACACACACACACACATGAGCTTAAACAAACGCAGCCCACAAAAAAGGGACAATTTGCTTAAAGGTAACGAAAAGTTTTGCCGCTCTCTTTTTTTTTTTTTTTTTTTGCCAGAGCAAACTTTAGGTGCGCCTCGGTTGGGGGCGCCTCGGACCTAAAATGCTTTGCATAAACTTGAGCGGCAAAAGTTGAAAATGTTTGTTGTGCTATATATGAAAATGGCAACAGCAACAACAGCAAGAGCAACAACAGCAACAGCAACAACGACAACAACAACAACGACAACAACAACAACAGCAACAAACAAACGGCAAACAACAAAGATAAAGTTCAAAGGAAATGTGGCACAGGAAACGCAGCAAAAGATACAGAAAGAGAAAAATATGAGAACAGACGACAAGAGGCCAAAATTTATAAATGTATGTGTGTATGTATGTGTGTGTGTGTGTGTGTGTGTGTGTGTTGATATAAAACAAAATATTAAGAAAGTTATTTCAACAAAATGAAAGTTATGCTCGGGTTTTTGCTTACACACACACCATCACACACACACACACTCACACACACTCACACACACATACACAACAGCACACACATAAAGACAAACGCTGACTCTTGACTCTCGCTCAGGTATTTGATCACGTTTTATTTAATTTATTTTCATTTTTGATTTATTTTCAAATTATTTTCATGTGCTGTCAAAGTTTTTAGTTAATTAAAACATGTTTGCAAATTGCAAAGAAATAAATTTGAATTAATAATAAAAATCAAATCACAAATTTCAGATACATATCTAAGCCAAGGAAATAAATGTTGCTTTGCTTTTGTTGTTGTTTGTAGCTGTTTTTCCTTGCTGTTCGCTTCTCTCTTCTTTCTTAGCTGCTCCCCCACAGCCGCAGCACAAAGCATTTGCATAATTTAAGGCGTAATTTTGGCGCGGTGCTTTAAATTGATATTACAAGCGCAATTTGTGTTTGGATATGGCCCATTCCCCCGCGCTCTTTTACTCTACAGATCTCGCCCTCTCGCTCACTCTCACGCTCTCACATCTCCCACTCTCTATGACATTAGATGGCATGGGTGCTAAGTACATGGAAAAACTGTGCCATGGCAACATTTTTCCTCGCTGCCGCTTCGTTTCCTTTCGTTTCGTCCCGTCTCGTTCCGTTTCGTTTGGCTCGGTTTGCTTTCGCTTGTTCAGCGAGTCGTTGGGGCGTGTTCATTCATTTCCTGTTGCGCCTTAAGTTATGCAAAGCTTATGGCAAAGTGAACAAGCTCTAAGTGGGCTGCTGCTGCTGCTGCTGGTGGCTGACGGCTGGATGAATAGGACAGCCGCCACATGGAAATGAGCAAAATGTTAAGACATCAGCAATGGCAGCAGCAACAGCAGCACCAGCGACAGCGGCAGCACATGGAATCGCCAGATAAGCTCAAATAGTTTATGAATAACAGCAAAACGCAACTGAAACACATTGCGAAACTAAGGCAAATCGCTGTACGTGTTTTCTATAATTTTGTTTGGCACTCAAAAGACTCGGCTGCGTAGCATTAGCCAACAGAAGTGTAAATATAAGACGTGAAAAAAAGTTTATTGGGCGGTGCTATTTGAGCCACATGAAACTGTAGAATAATGGTAAGCATGTTCAAAATTCATATAAATAATTAAATATAAATACATATATTCATCATGTTGTGAATGATTAAAATAAAATCCTGTGTATTGAATACATATGCACATGTTCATATGAGTATATTTTTCGTTCCGTGTAATCTTCTAATCTTGAGAGTTATGAATCCACAGAAAGCTCAGCCTGGATCATTCAATGAAATAAGCACAGCGCAGTAGAAGCTAAATTGAGTAATTTTCTAATTAGCATTTTACTCATGCTCAGACACACATACATAACATAACATACAATCCACAAGTGGGCGCGCAGAAGACATAAGGCGTAGCTTGGCCCGTAACAGAGGTTTGAGCGGAGTGCGTTAGTTGAGCGCTTTACCAATTGGCGATCCACAGACGCACACATGCAGTGATGTGTGTGTGTGTGTGTCAACTGCAGGAAGCTCTTGAGAGCGACCACACATATAATCCACAAGTAGGTGTCAAATTGGAACTTAAATTGAGCGGCTGCCTCCAAGAGCAATCCACAGGTACAAATAGTGTGTGTGTCAACTGCAGCCTGAAAGCTTCTGAGAGCGACTACACATGTAATCCACAAGTGGAGCTTTTTTCTAATAGTCTCACCGTGAGCGGGCATACAGTTGCTTCGTGTCTAAGCAAGCACATGCGAAATCCACAAGCCGGAGCTGAGCGGCCACAGAGTTGAGATCAAAAACAATATATGTATGTAAATATGAGCAAATATATACAATGCGTTTACCTAATGAGCGATATTTTAAGAGAGCGAACATATGAAAGGGATGGGTACATATAAAATAGACGTCCGATCACTGCTGTAAGCATTGCGAAAGGGATAGATTGCTATGTGCTTAGCTGTGTTCTGCTGAGAGTTGTATAGATAATGAGACCGTGGGAACTATTCGTATTGAGTGCAAATTTAACTATTACAGTGGCAATGCGAATTTCGAGAGAGTAAGAGCTTACTTTGGTAATCGAGTCTTTGTTAAACGAAAGTTTTTGAGTGAATCGATTTGTATTAAGATACACATATTTACACATATACATTATAAATTTGTTTTTCTTTCTTTTTATTTGTTATTAAAATGTGTATATGTATGTACATGTAGAAAATTACCCTGTAGCTATACATTTATAATATGCTATTGATATTTTGAAGAGGCAGCTTTCACTGATTATGCATTGCATACTAACACACACATACATGACCTTACAGCTTTTTAATAACTTCGCGAATTTCATGTAAATTACTGATACTGCAGTTTGTAGGGTAAGTCGCACTCGCTCATATTTGTGTCTTGCTCTTGTCTTCCTCATTTTAGCATTCCATAACTCAGTGTTTGTATTTTCAGTTTTTTCCGGATTCGGACACGTGTTCAGATACTTCATATTTTTTGCTGTGTGCTGTTGACATCTGTTAAATACCACAAAGTTTTATAGCAATTAAAAGCTGCAATTTGTGCAGCAGCTGCGGCGCCTGTGATTACACGAACTACATGAAAATTAATGCTGGCGTTGATTTGTGAGACACGCAGATCCACCCCAGCCCCCACTCCGACTACTTGTTGTGCTACATGAATGTTGCATGTTCATCATAATTGAAAGCAGATGTTGAACTTTAATGCATAAATAAAATAATATAGGACGTTAGCCATGGTACCGATTGTGATGCATATTGTGGAGACCCTCGTTATTCTGGTGCTGTTGCTGTTGCTGTTGCTGCTGCTGCAACTGCGGCGGTTGATGGCCGTCCAAGACCCTGAAAAGATTCAGATAGTTAAGCAGGACTTTAGTCGATTGCGGATGCGCGGGGTGTACGCACATGAGATTGATTTGGCCCAGCAGATAGGCCTGCTGCAGGTAGAGTCGGCCCTGAAAGTCGTTGGCCACATCGTTGCTGCCCCGGCGGCGGCAGTGCTGGCAAAGGCCGGTGTAGGGCGGCTCGCCCACCTGGCGCTGGGCAGGTGTGGGGCTTGGGCGATTCAGTAGCTTGCGATAGCGCTGAGCCAGCTCACGCTGATCCTCCTCATCCACATAGGGATCGTACTTGGGTATCTGGGCGTACTTATCGACGCCACGGCGCAGGCCCTGCGCCGAAGTGCAGAACATCTTGTGCAGCGGCACACACTGCTCCTTAACGCAATCGGCTGCACGTTGCTCGGCAACGGCTGTCGGCTTGCGACCCCTCTTCAGGCGGGCGCCCATGTCCGACATGTTCGAGATGCCTAAGTGGGCAACCAGCTTGTCCCCATCCTCGCCCATCTCGTCCAGCAGACTGGGGAAGCGATCCCGCTGGCATGGCGCATGAAAGTACGGTCCCTTGTGACCCCACACCAGATTCATGATGCTCAAACTTATTTATTTATTATTGGCCTTTAGATCAATGGAATTTGTGTAACGTTGCCAATTGACGGAAATTATATAGCTCTACGTAGGTCTGTTCGATCGACAATGAATTTCGGTTACTAAAATTTGAATTCGAGTAGGATTTTCGGGTTTTACATAAATGACATGAAAATGAGAACATGTCTGAAAATGAAAATGGGATCCTAACTAAGAAGACAGACTCCATTAAGTATTGCATAATACTATCGACGAAGCTATTAATTAATATTTACATACCCAAGCAGAAGTATATATACTTTTAAGAATTTTTTCTTGTTTATTATATATTAATAGATACCGTAAAATATGATCTAACACTTTCCATGCAAAAATATACACTACATTGATATTATTAAAATAGTCTCTCTCCCCCTTTTTTTCTCCACAAGCACCCCACCCTATCTCTCCACCTGCCACGCTGTTCCTCACGCTCACCCTTCCCCTCAAGCTTTCTTAGACCCTCTCCCTTCCCCACCATCTACATCCCATCCCTTTCTCATCCTATCCTTCTCTTTTCCTATTCAAGATCACTGAACCCTCAAGGTCATTGACCCCTGAAGGTCATTGGCGCCTCAAGGTCATTGACCCCTCAAGGTCATTGGCGCCGCAAGGTCATTGGCCCGCAAGGTCATTTTCCCCGCGAGGTCATTGGCCCCGCAAGGTCATTGGCGCCTCAAGGTCCATTGACCCCTCAAGGTCATTGGCGCCTCAAGGTCCATTGACCCCTCAAGGTCATTGGCCCCGCAAGGTCATTGACCCCTCAAGGTCATTGAGCCATCAAGGTCATGACCCCTCAAGGTCATTGAGCCATCAAGGTCATTGAGCCATCAAGGTCATTGGCGCCGCAAGGTCATTGGCGCCGCAAGGTCATTGACACCGCAAGGTCATTGGCCCCGCAAGGTCATTGACTCCTGAAGGTCATTGATCCCTGAAGGTCATTGATCCCTGAAGGTCATTGACTCCTGAAGGTCATTGACCCCTGAAGGTCATTGACTCCTGAAGGTCATTGACCCCCCAAAGTCAATGACCCTTCAAGGTCATTGATCCCTCAAGGTCATTGATCCCTCAAGGTCATTGGCCCCTCAAGGTCATTGACCCCTCAAGGTCATTGGCTCCTCAAGGTCGTTGACCCCTCAAGGTCATTGGCCCCTCAAGGTCATTGACCCCTCAAGGTCACTAAGGCACCTCTAACTGCCCCTTTCTTGGAAGTTTCAGGGTATCTCCTAGTCGAGCCTTCTTTACTAGAGCCTTCCTACTTGACATTTATTTTTAATCCCATAATTTAAGATATTCATTGTCATTTGATTATATATTTTCAGCGCAGTGTTGTTAAGCGCCCCAATTGGTGTCGCAAGTGGAAGTGAATATACAATTATGCGCCAATTATGTATATGAATTGAGAGTGTCACAGGTATGTCGCATTAAATAATCATTTATATCTAATTGTTGGTTCGTAAATGGGCAATAATAGTCCGACATATTTGATAATTGTAATTATGGATTATTGAGCTGTTCGCTTTTAATGCACACTCAATATTTTACAATGCCTTTTGACAGATGCACTCGATTGTTCCTCTGACAGAAATTAGCCAGAGAATATAAATATCATTTATAATTGTTTGATTGCGTAAGACAAATAGGGATTAACTTGTGGACTGATTAGATAAGCCTAATCTAAATAGCCTATGTTGTTGGTATTAGTTTGTATTAGTATTAGTTGGGTATTAGAATGTTAGGCATTAGGATTTGGTAGAAACTGCTGGAAGTCTAAGGACTGAGGTGCAATGATAATAAAATAAAATATATTTATAGTTATTCAAGAGAGTTTATAAATATTTAATATTAAAACAAACAATAAAATTAAGTACTGGCAACAAATATATTTATAGTTATTTTATTATTACTTACGCCATTTACCAGTTGAAATGAGCCCGCTTCATTAATAATAATTTTAATTTGGTTTCGTAAATAAATAATTGTAAAATTCCAATATTTTGATTCTTAATAATAATTATTCGTATATTCAAGTTTTATTTGGTATAATAATATTGCAACTTTAGTTACTTATTTAATTTAATAAGTCAACTAATTTTACTATAAATATCCGTTCAAGAGTCAAAAAGAGTATATTGGCTTTATGCTTAGCGCATTTTCCTTCTATTCTAGCTAAATGGGTAAAATAAAGCTACAACTCCAGACTATGTTACTGCTAAAATCTCTAGCTAAGCCATATATCTGCCTACGCTGTGGTTCTTTAGTTGTTTAGTTAAATTACTATACACTCTCATCAACAATAATTTGAATATTCATACTTATTAAGCTGATATATTTTATGAACTAAGATTAAGTAAAATTAAGCATTGAAGTTTTAGTTCAATCAACGATCTGAATATCTAGTCACTTAAACAGCTCATCTCCATTCATTTCGCTCACATATTGCGGAGCGAAATACATTGCTTTAAGACTGAAATTATGAAATTAGAATTATGCAAAAAAATTAAAGTATATTTAATGCCCTTCACATGGCACTTGATTTGCTGGAGCTGGAAATTAAAATCCATTAAAACGAAAGCCATTATAATATTTCAAATGTAAATTAAATGAGAAATTGTGGATAAAAAAAATTGGGAGTGAAGCATGAGAAGTGGATGGATGTGCTCTGGCTGTGGCTCGCAATTGTCGGTTGCGTTGATTAACATTCAGGGGAATCACAATAAAAGTAATTATTTTGATTACGATTCTAAGCCAAAGGCGGGCGCCAGACACATGTCCATGCGACAGTTATATAAGCGCGCCTCAAATGTGCCATGCCAGTGGGGTCTATGGGCGTGGCAGCGCACACACGCGCGCGCACACACACACTCGCAAAAGACATCAGCATTAAAAATGTATTTTAATGTGTCGCCCGCTCTGTCATTTGGTTACCTTTAGCCAGCATTTCGAGCTGTCTGTTGTCGTTTTTAATGTCTTTCATTTTGCCGGAATGTGGGCGTGAGTGCCACCGCCCCGTCCCCATCATTCGAAAAGTCCAGGCAAACAAACAAAAACAAACAAGCCATTAGAGGCGCATTTCATAGCGTTTGCAAATCATAAAATGCCTTCAAAAAATTCCAGAAAAAGCAAAACGTCGACTTTGACTTTCAGCTAATTACTTGTGATTTAATTTGAATTTGTAATTAGCCAGAAAGATGTCATTTTTGTGACAGCTCTGACAGAGGCAGAGGCAGAGGCAGAGGCAGAGGCAGAGGCAGAGGCAGCCGAGGCCAGCCGAGGTGTGAGCCTGTCCCACATGTTGGATTAGCGTGCCAAAAGTTTTTAATTAGACAGCGCAGAGCAGCAAAAGGTGTAAATATATGTATATATATATGTATATAAATATATTGATTTTTATATATGCGTGTATACAACTTGTTGTTCCATAGTGTCTATCAAATTATAATAATTATCGCGAGAGCCTGACAACTGCCATGGCATGAAGCCTGAACGTGGAATCAAGATAAATTTTGTTGTTGGGCAGCAACTACATGAAAAGTCAAAGAAAAATCACTTAAAATCTTTTGCTTGAGGCAACAAAAGCACAGCACGAAACCATCAACAAGCTGGCCATCCCACCTGCCCACCTGCCCACCTGCCCAGTCAACGTGGCACGCCCACATCATCAGCAGGAGCTGATGCAGTCAAGTCTAACAAATGGCTGGGAGCTGGGAGCTCGTTTCTACGCAGCTATCTAAAGCTGTTGATAAAGCGCACATTAAAATATATACGTATCTAAGTATCTCAAAGATACAGGTGAGCCAGCAGGCGGCTGGGCAGGGAGCAGCGGGCCAGGCGCATTCAAATGAAAACCGTGAGAATCAAAGCAGCAGCCAAGTGGAGCGTAAAGCTTTCAGTGCCCCGATTGCAGCCGAACCGAAGTGTCTGTCCGAAATCTAAAAAAAAAAAAAAATCAGAGAAAGATGATGAAGAAGAAGAATATCCCCTGCGTATCGCTTCAGAGCTCAGAGATTGTCCAGTGAAGCTGCCGGCGTCGCCGTCTTCCTCGACGAGTTGTTAAGTTTCAGTATTTTTTTGCCTTCACGTTTCATTTATTACGTCGAGGTTTTTCCATTTCTGCTTTTTTTATTTTTATTTTTATTTTTTATTTTATTCAACTTAGATTTTTTCTCTTTTTTTTTCGTAAATTAAGAATTTCCCTGCTGCTGCTTTTTAGAGCTTCTCAATGACTCGGCCCGTTCCGTGCCACGCCTTATCCAGCAGTCCCTTAACTGACTGTTGGCGTTATAAAAGCCCAACGCTTCATTGCACAAACATAGTGGCAAGAGCTGAGCCAGGCATTTCTAAAGGCCTGTTGTCTGTTGTCCCGGAGTTGTCAGTGTGGAGGAGGAGGGCGATGGTGCGGTGGGGTAACCACTTCCCACTTAACAGAGCACACAACTTGGCTTGCGGTCGAAGCTCAACGCTCGACACTCCAAAATTTTTGCTATGGCTCAAAGAGCTTCAAGCCGGGAGCTCTATCATTTCTGCATACGTGAGCAGAAAGAACTTGTGGCACTGGGATGAAGTGGGGGGGTGGAGCGAGTGAAGAGGCTGCGGTGCGTGTTTCTTTCAGCAAGTCTCAAAATGAAATTAATTAAAACAATATAAACAATAGCGCAGAGACATGCGTATAGTGAACTAGCACAGCAGCCAGAGGAGTACGTGGATACAATATATAGGACATGCCACTACCTATACATATACATATACAGTAATACAAACTGCGATGGGGGTATACATGCAAGATGTATCAAGTAGGTACTCAAACTAATGGAATCTGTTTAAATCATGTCAAGTCAAGGGAATCCCTTAGACTTGAGTTGTCTTCGATTGCTGCTCCTGATTAAGTCGAAAATTATAAGAAACGTATTTCTTTATTTATTTATTATTTATTTAATTTTTTTTATATGCCCAACGAATTGTGTGAATTTGTAGTTTATTCATGCAGCTTAGTGTTTAATCATTTTTTGGACTTAATATTTGCATTAAATGCAATTAATTACTATTGATAAATAAGGTATATATAAATTTACAATTTGTGTAGTTT